AATAATTAACTGTGCTACTTAATAATTATTCTGTTACCTCTCCCAGTCATTGTTAGTCTTCCGTATTCCGAATTGAACTGATTTCATTCATCCCTACTGTATTATCAACAAATAAACACGGTAAATTTCGCTACTCGTGTCATAATATCGCTTCGTACGTGCGAAAGTCAATTGTTACTAAAGCTTAACTTACTAATTCGATAGATCAGAAGTAGTACCAATCATGATTCAACTTATAACTACCACCGATGGTCTGAGTGTCCGTATTATCGACATTCACAACATCCACCGATTACCTTCATTCAAATATTTTAAAACTCGTTTTAACAAAACTTTGTTTTGGTCATAGCCTGTTTGTTTTGGGTCATAGCCTGCAAAAAGTGCACCAAGCCGTACGTTTGCGACGACTATTCTTTTTTCTTTAATGACCACTACCTGAATTCTTTCTGCTGGGTCAATTTCGTGGCATAACTGACTCCCTTACGAGCTTCCACCGTAATAAGGTAACCCTTCGTTAAAATTTCTTGTGTACCAATAACTCACAGTGAAACCTTTCAAACCCTTCACTGCGCAACAATATCTGGTGCAACTACAATATAACCGAAGCCAAATAATTTTACTACAAACCAACCCCTTAGAGTTCCTGCTTGTTCTTGACCACTGACTAACCACAACAAAAACAAATCACGTTTTCCATGTCATTCAATTCTATATCATGACATTTTCGACATCGTCAGGGGAATTTTCCGCCCATTCCTGTTCAATGTTTTTGTGAATCCAATATATGCTATTCTGTTGCGTTAGATCTTACCAATAATCATTGCATCGTAAGTTACACTATTTCATCAAAATGAAACTGTCGAAGCATTTCTTACACAGCAAGCGGAAAAGACGACTTGGACATTGTAACTTAGATTTGTTATTATTTGTATGTAAATTAGGACTTAAAAACTGACGTACGTGAGCTTAACCTACGATGTAATAATAGGAGTAGCAAAGTTCATCGTAGTTAATTTGTGATAATACAAAGAGAATAAATGAAATCAGCCAAATTCGAAATATGGAAAAATTAACGATGATTAGGAGAGGCACAGGAAAAGTAATATAGTCAAATATAACGCAGTTAAATATAGCTTTAATTTCAGTAATCTGACAATTTTCACTCGATCATCAACATTTTCTGAATATCACCACCTTACTTTCCTCTTAATTTGCGGGAACTATCATTTCCAATGGGAGGAGAGGCACAGGAAATAATATAGTCGAATAACGCAGTTACTGGAAAATGATAGTTTCCTAAAATTAAGGGGGAAGTAAGGTAGTGATATTCAGAAATTGTTGATGATCGAGTGAAAATTGTCAGATTACTGAAATTAAAGCTATATTTAAACAAAATTTTCACAATATCTAATAGACAGACTGATGAAATCTTGTAAAATTAAAACAATGAAGAGAACATAAGCTAACAATGGACAGCATAACAGAGAGACATTCCAGTACCTACAGCATGGGTAATGATGTCCATCGTAGTTATACAGTGGACAATGCCAAAGGGCAGCCACACACACCTCCATGATAACCTCAGTGAAGCTTACAAAGCCCCTCCTCAATCTCTCTCTCTCTATACATATATATATGTATATATATATATACGAGGGAAAATTCGAAAATTTTTTACAATCGAACAAACCATGGCGTCCTCGCATATCCGCCACCGTTGAATATAATAGACTACAGTATTCTTTATCTTCACTAAAAATATTTCCTGCAACATATCTCAGCTCAACGAAGTACGAATTCTTATATATAAATTTATCAACAAGCGGCAGTCAATTATTATCGAAGGCAAAGACAAGGAATTTGTAGTTGACCATATTGCTTGTTTATTGTATAACTCGTCACTGCTTACCAATTTACTATGTAATATATACATATATTTTATACCCCTTTTGTTGACAACTAGTAATATTGCGCAAGAACAATATTACATCCCAAATAAATCTATATCGCTGAAAAACGAAATCAACAGATTAGCTTTCCCGACAAAAAGTATGTAGTGGGTGCGTTTAGTATGTCAACATCTGCATAAAAAACCGTCATATAACAGATCGTTTTTGAGGCAAGAATTTGCATGTGAATGAGTGTATCGAATTTGTACAATTTTCTCCTCCCCCTCCCTATGCCCTCATTGATCCTTTGTTTGGTCAAAATATTTTCACACAATTTGAAGATTGGATAAGTAGATGGCTTATCACTTTGGGTATAGAAAAACGGAAAGAATTTGTTTTCCTATTTTTTTTGTGGTGTGATGAATTCGTTATCTGGTGAATATTCGCAATAGCCTTTGTGATAAAATTGTTTGATACAGTACTTTGATTGCTACAACATGTTATAAAATTTCTTAGTTTTCGATAGATGTAGCTCCTACTATGATAAACGTTCAAGGCCATACAGGAAGATGAAACTGGCGAAGCAGCTGGAGTTAATTGAACACTTCGGAGCACATCTCAAAAGAACTTCAGGATTTCCACCAAAGAGCCAGTGTGGTTTCAGAGACAATAAAAGCACCACAGGCATGACATTTTATTCCCAGACAATTTTATTCCCAGAAAGAGAAGTGTAGAGGATAAACAGAGAATTAGATCTCACTAAAGCTCATAAAATTATGAGCAGAAAGGCCTTGTAGATCTTGGAACTACTAGTTCTCCTAATTCCGTGTTCCTCCTAATTCCTCAAAATAAAACCATACCATTATATGAGAATCAATGCGGCTAAGTCAGATATGGCAATCCACTCTCTGAGCTCTTTTCAACAATTATTAATGTGAAACAATATTGCTTTCTTGCACCGGCTCTTTTTACAATTTATGTTAGCGTGACTGATATTCCAAAAGGGTCATGGCTGGCCTCGATGAAAATAGCATTTACAACCGATATCGTACCGATGGGGACTTATTCAACCAAGACGATTGAAGGCCTACACCAAGCTTAAATCGCCGTGTCTGAGAGTTGCTTTTTGCCGACGTGGAGTCCTCATTGCCCACATATAAGCGATATTGCAGCGTTTTCTACTAGCCTACACCACAGGAAGACTACCACTATCACTGGTCTAAGTGACTAATGTTATCTTCTTGAACAGGCAAGAGTTACCAGTATTGAGGCCATGCTACTGAAGACGCAGATACGCGTCTCCAGGATGGAGGATCATCGCTTTCCTAAAATTGCGGTCTGTGGTGAGCTTGTTACCGGCTTCCCTAAACGGGGAGCCGCAACGAGGAGATGCAAGGACTCCCTGAAACAATCCTTCAACTTTGGCCTTATTGATTATCACCAATGGTCCACACTAGTCTGGAATCGGAAAGTCGGAAACGTAGAAACATATTGTCCATAATGCTGAGTTTAGAGGAGAAAAGACAACAGGACAAGAATCGTGCCTTGCCAGTATCACCAAAGCAGACTTTCGGCTGTACATTTTGCCACCAGACTTTCCGCATTGGACTTTGTAGCCATCAGCGCACTTGTAATGCTTGTAGGTATATCCCTTTCCACATCTTCGTGCGCTAAGCCCATCCATGATGATAAGAAATCTGGATATATATATACGTATATGCGATAAGAACTAGTAACTATGAATAGTTAATATTAATTCATGATTTGTGGTGCAAGAGAAATTTATGTCATCTGTTTCAACTTTCTTTCGTAGCTTGTTGTTAAACTCATAAGCGAATGAATCGATATTCCCGTCAATATTTCTTCCAACACCTAGGTGATTTTCAATTATACTTTCAGTTATACTATCCCCGGTTTAGTTTCGTTATAGAAGTTTGTAAATTTTCAGCAGTTGTGAGGAGGATATACAAACTTTATTACTGGTATTCCTTTATACAATAAACGTAGAGGTCATTGGGGGGTGAAAAAGTAAACAGCAGAGTCATCAAGCGGCACGATGGAAGAGATCGAGGTCAATTGTAACAACTATGAGAAAAAGTTGTTAAACAGCTTGGAAGAAAAGTTAGCTAGACGGAACAAAAACAGGAGAGTTGGTTAAAGTGAAGTAGAGGTATTAACAACTATCACAAAAGTGATATAGAGCAGGCGAGACAAAAAAGAAGAAATGCATATAAGATGCTCTAAAGCATTTCAATCGCGAGCTAATGTTCAATTCAGTTCATCCTGATCTGGTAAAGTGAATCCTGGTGATCTACTGAATCAAGAAAACTATAAAATAGTCTATACAACGACAGAAAAGAGTCGGTACTTCAAAGAGCAATAGATCAAATGGTTAGGTCAGAGAAATTCGAAAACAGAATTAAATATTTTATGAACACAGCTAGTCTTTTACTTCGTATTAGTAAAGCTTGTCCACTGATATCAAATACAATCAACATAATGACTGTGCTTGCTTTTTTAATGGAACAATTATTGATCTTAGAAGCCGGCAGAAATCCAAGGATTAACACCGTCCTGACTGTCGCGAATTCCGATTCGCGAGACTCCAACCATACAAATATATAATCAAATAAATTTCTTATTATAAATGAATATATCCAGTGTTATGACTCATTTAATTAATTCTACATTCCTTAGATTTATTTCCATGTTTTTTCGGTCTTTATCTCAATTCCCATCTTTGTCCGGACGCATCTTTATTTTAAGGACAAAGAATGTCCAATCTGCATGCTAATCTTCCCTCTGTTCTTGTTCCAATGCTTATTATGTAATTGGATCTTTACAGTTCCCTTTGTATCTAAATGTACACTTTTTTTAACGTTTTATTAAAACCACTCCCATTTCCTAATACATAGAAACCCGATGGTATTAACCGAGGGGACTGTTATCAATAAATTGTCTACAATCTGGTGCGTGTACAACTCAAATCATCGTGCCTGAATCAACTCAATTCGACTTAACGCTACTACAACTCGCGTTATATCGCTGGCAATAGTGGTCTCCGACATCACCCTCTCAAACGAACCCGAACAATATTCGTTACAAAAATTTGGTGCCGTTTCCTTTGTACAGTTTCCTTTGTACATCCTTTTTTAACGTTAAAACCAGTCC